AGTATTACAGTGCAGACCTGATAAAGCGAACTCACCAGGGACCCAAGATATAATTCTTGTTATCAGAAATTCCTCTAATCCAGATACAAGTTCAACCAAGAAAAATTGCCAGGGGTAAACCAAATTGTTCTTCACAACAGAAATTTGCCACATCGGAGATCACATTAATGTGCAGTGTTTCAGGAAAGTCCCAGCACTCATGCTTGCAACACACTGTAGCCAGCATCCAGGAACACAAAGTATGCAAATGAGCTAAGAGAAAGGGTCAGCTTTTTGTAGGCGCTTGGGGAATGAACCCTCCAGAGAGGAGGCCAAACAGTGGATTCAGTCTTAACAGATTATGGCTAATGTCATATAAGTGGCCATATAGCTGATAGTGTTAGTAAAGTGGAAAGCCAATATGTTCATTAATCTGTTCCTGGGGGAAAGATGAATATTTAAAAAGGGATGAATATGAATTTTTCCCACAGGAGTTTACTAAAAATGGTTTAATCCATTACCAGCCCCAGTTCTACTTATCTATTCTCTAACAAACAGAAAAATGTAAGTAAGCTCTGAGCGTTTGGAGAGACAGAGCGAGCCCACACCAGTGACAATCACTTGATCTATTATTTTACCATTACGACAAATACTCAGATCGTAAATATACTGTAGGCCCACCTAAATAAATGTATTATCTTGCTATCTTTTGGGTGAAAACAAAGCCCTTGAAACACATCCGTAATAATCTGAAACTTCTAGTGAGTGATGTCCTGATGTTTCATCAACATCTCCAGATGATTCACCAGCACTCATTTTAAAGAAGTTATCCAGTTTTGTTTGTTATGTTCTGCTTTTTTTTTTTTGGGGGGGGGGGGGGGGGGGGGCTTAATTTTTGCAGAGTAGACATGGTCATCAAAGAAATAATATGCACACAAAATCAGTCAGCAAGCAGATGTCAGTGAAAATCATTTCTGCCAGTCACATTCCTTACTTCAGCCATAAAACTGGCCTGGTTCCTTCAATTTAGGCTGTTAAAAAGACAGCGGTGTAAAACAGGGGGCATGTCCTTGAGCCTCAGGATTTTGGGTCACAAGGCTTAAATCCAGAGGGTCACAAACAGACTTTCTCCAGGTCAGTGAATCTTTGCCTTAAGGAAGAAGAACAAAGCCTGTCAATAACATGTTAACTCTGATGTTTGGAGAGACATAGCGAGCCCACACCAGTGACAAACAGGTGATCTCTAAACACCTCACACAGATCGCCTTACCCACCGCAACATGTGTCATCTTGCTCCCTGATGAAGCCCCTCAACCATCAGTAATAATGTAAAGGTTGATGGTGTGAAGACCTGATACCAGAGAGAGGTGATGATGGTTACCGAATGGAAGCTTCATGTTTGCACAGTAGAACATGGAAGAAGCAACACAAAATCAGTCAGCAAGCAGATGTAGTAAAAATCATGCCAGCCACTTTTACTTCCCATGAAACTTCCTGGTTCCCAATTTAGGCTGGGCTGCCTGTTACTGAATGCAAACAACGTCCTTTAGGATGTCGGAAAAGATAGTGTGGTCAAAACAAAGTCACGATATTTGCCTTCAGATAACATTTACACCATCTTACAAAGTGTGAACCCAGGTCCCCCACGTAAGACCCGGGTTTCTAACCACTTGGCCATCTGGTCCTCCACTCACAATTAGACACTGGTAAAATATTCATTAAAGTGTTTCTTAAGCTTCAATAAAGTGTTAAGTGACCTTCACACTGTCTTCATCAAAGGTGGTTATCAATAATCCAGGTCATTATCTTATCACCTAACAAGGTCATTATCTGAGAAATGAAATGAAGAATGCCCACAACGAAATTTAGATGTTGGAAAAGATATGCACTGTCCAAAGTTGAAGTTAAATACCATCTCAGAAATCAGTTGCTTAACAAGGTTTCTTGAAGTCACTGATAACACAGCCTGGGATCAATTCCGTGGCAAAAACCTGTGTTAAGTTAGGTCATAGTCTATCAAAGGTGGTTATTACAAGTATCTGATCAGCTAACTTAGTAGGTATCTGATAGTCAAACACATCTTACAAGTCACTGAAGCAAGTTACCATCTTAGAAAGTCATTGCTTAAAAATTTCAAGAAGTCACTGAAGCAACTTAGTAGGTCATAGTTTAACAATTTACAAGAAGTCACTGAAGCAACTTAGTACGTCATAGTTTAACAATTTACAAGTCACTGAAGCAACTTAGTAGGTCATAGTCTAACAATTTACAAGAAGTCATTGAAGCAACTTAGTAGGTCATAGTCTAACAATTTACAAGTCACTGAAGCAACTTAGTAGGTCATAGTCTAACAATTTACAAGAAGTCACTGAAGCAGGCTGTAATCTAAGTAGGTCACTGTCTAAAAATGTGTAAGAAGTATTTGTTAACATCCAAGTTAGTCACTATCTTAAAATTTATAGAACTGAAGCAGGTCAGTCTAACAATTTCAGACAGTTAAGTAGGTCACTGTCACAATCTGTCATAGCTAAGTAAGAGAAGATCTAAGCTCATTAGGTCATCATCATCTAGAGCTGTTTAACGGTGACCAAAATGACTTCACTTCATTGTGTGCTGTTCCATCAGGCTCAATCTTTATCCACTGAACAGCTCGCTGCCTGCATATAAACAAGATGACAAAGTCACAGTCTACAATGACCAAGCCAGGTTGATAAAGTAATTAATAGTCAAAGGTAAAACAAGTCAAGCTAGTCTGATCAAGCCAACTTCAACAAATCATAGTTAAAGATGACAAAGTCATAGTCAAAGCTGAACAAGTCAAGCTAGTATGATAACGCTAACTTCAACAAATCGTAGCCAAAAATGACAAAGTCACAGTCCAAACCATGTTGACTCAACCAATTCATATTTTAAATCAACCAGATCTTCCACTTCTACTTAATCAGTCCCACTGTTACTAGGTTGTAGCCAGCATCATGGGACTAGATCATCAACAAATGATAAACTGTTTCCTAAAGTGACCTGACGAAGAACAAAACATTCCACCCTGTAAATTCTCAAGATAATTATGGCAACAGAATAAGAATGTTGGTTAGTTGTATATCGTTTACAAGATGTTGCAAATCAACCCCAACAATTGTTGGATATTTGTAGTTTTATGGGGCCAATACCCCTCAAAGTAACAGACCCACTTTCACACCTTCAGGCAAATTGGGCATATAGGGCTAGACCTATAGACCAATTTGTACTCAGTGGATAATGTGGTAAACATCATCCCGGCTGATTTTAATTCCAGGACTTTACCTGGTACCCGTGTAATGTCAGGAGGACCTGGGACCCATGTAAGGTCAGGTGGACCTAGGACCTAAGGTCATTTCTCAAAACAATTCCGGCTCCATCAGGAGCTGAACCTATGAACTGTGGATTCACAGGCGAGCATCTAGCCACTACACTGAGGCAGCTTCCATACTACCAAAAGGTCAATGCTCATACTATTCAACACAAAGTGGTCTGCTGCCAAACTGAACACAGTATGCCATATTTTGAAGCTACAATCATGACCACAGGCGCTGTAATGATCTTTAGCTGTCATTATGCCTGTGTGGACCACATTTTAGGACATGCTTGTGTTGAGCCTGATCGTAATTTTTATAATAAGAAACATTGGAAAAAAAAATAACAAAAACAAAATAACTAATGACAATGACACCAATAAAACTGATGACATATTTTTTTTGGGTGCAATTAAATGAATATATTGCATTTTTTGTTTTCTTTTTTAATGACACATTACACAGAAGCAAGAACATGAAACAAATTAAACAATTTCAATAGGAAAAAATTAATACCACAACAGTCAATTAAGAACCCATAACATGCGGGAATATGTTGTTGAAAGTAATGTAATCAATGTCATATAATGATATCCTCAATGTGTATGTATCTTATATTTAGGAACATATCTGTTATACTACAATCAAGATGGCGTCGGTGTCATACAATCTAGAATGACAGGGTGTCGTTCTTCTTCCTCTCTTTTGTTTTGAAACAAACAAAAACAAAACAGTGTGTTTACTGTCTGTGCCATCATCACTTTTCTGATGTTTGCTATGGATTGAGGAGAAACTTTCATATATTCTCAGTTTCACGTTTGTATTAGATTAGGGAGACACTCTATTACACTCTGATTGTGTACGGATTGGCAGGATACGTTCTCAGTTTGATATTCGTATTGGATAAGGGAGACAACATATTCTCAACTTAAAGGGATAAGGTTAATAAATTATCACCTTGCTGTTTTTATCTCCCAGTGTGGGTTCCGGGGCTTTTTTGGGGAGGGGATGGGGGAGACAGACCTACTGCCACTTGACTTGTATTTAGTAAATGGCAGCTTTTTGCTGAAAAAAGCCTGTGATGAGCTAAAAGTGCCAATACTGCAGCCCAGCCGTATAGGACTCCACATCATGCAAACAGCCCTTTCAAGGCTGAACTCAGAATAAGAAACCTGAGATTTGTATTAAACTGGGTAGATAACTCTCTCATATATTCTCAGCTGGGGGAGACAACTCTAACACATTCTCAACTGGATGATTGGCAGAATTTTTAAATGCTGTTACAAGTCAACTACTCATATAGGGAAGGGGTTTCCTGTTAGCTAACAGCTGCTGTCCCTTCTTATGTTCAAAGGTCTGCTAAGGATCTCATACCTTTTAACAGTCACACCGAAGCACTATAATTTACAAAAAATGAAAACTACAAAATGGATTGCACTCTAAAGTTAGGAGGGTTCTGTTAGTAAATGGTATCATAGACCCCTTAAATCTGTTCCACATATCACTAAATGGGAAACTTAAACAGGGCACACTAATGATCCTGAGGGTCTGATACACTTCAAGCTGGAAAATGCATGTGCAAACACATAAGCATTCAAAATAATCAACAACAATAAATGATCCCACTTAAGTAATAGCTGATAATATGCTATTATTTGTAGTGATATAATACCAGTGAAAGGTCAAGTTTCATTTCTTGGCCATTGTCCACAAGGGGTCAAGGCTGCCCAATGGGTCACCAGGATCATTTCTGGTTGTCTGCAAGGAGCCCATTGTTTGGTGAAAGTTGGCTTTGGTTATTTTGCTCTTTTTCTTGGAATCAGGTGAGCCCAAGGTGAATGTGGCTGGGTCCTGGAGCTGCGCTAGAGAACTAGGAACACCACCCCCAGTTAAAGATTCAGCAGAAAGAACTGCACTCAATGCTTGGCCATCAGCTGGTGATAGAGAACCTTGGGAGAGGACTGTCTGGTCAAGGTTCAGATCAACAGAACAGGGTAGACTATGAGAACTAGAGGACACAGACTGCAGGTCCGAAATGCTCATCTGCAAATTCTGCAGTCCAGTGATGTTAGGGTCACTTCCCCTTCGACTGCCCTTGCTCTGTCGGAGTCTGTCCAGCTCATTGATGGAGTGGACATCGCTGTACTGCTGGACAACATCTGGCAGACTGCTGCTCACTGAAGACAAACTATCTCCCATGGTATTTAGTTCCTGATATGCCCTTTCCACACAACACAGCCCATGGTATTTAGTTCCCATGAGTCCACCTCAATACCTGTATCATTCATATCTCACTTGCATACATCTTTATATTGTAGTAGAGGTCGGCCTCGACATCTTCTCCCTGTCTTTAATTCACCATAAAGGATGTCCTTAGGGACTCTGCCATCCTCCATTCTCCAGGTGTGACCCAGCCACCTGAGCCTTCGTAGACAGAATGAAAAAGACTGTTGTAGTACCTGCTCTTTCCAATACCTCAGTGTTTGTGATTTTGTCCTGCCACTTAATGCCAAGTATTCTTCTTAGGCTTTGCATGGGAAAGCTATTTAGCAATCTCTCCTGGTGCAAATAGGTTGACCAAGTTTCACTGCCAAAAAGCAGAGTGCTGAGAACACAAGCCTGATAGACAAGGGTTTTTGTTTTAATTGTGAACTTTCTGTTCTCCCAAACTCTCTTTGTCAATCTGCTCATTGTTGTTGCTGCCTTACCTATCCTGATGTTGATTTCTTGGCCAAGCAATAGTTTACAATTCACTGTGGAACCCAGACAGGCAAAATGGTCTACTGTTTCTAGCTCTTCACCGTCAATGTAGACTGTAGGCCTGTCATTACCACCTTGCAGCATAACCTTTGTCTTCTTTTTGCTGACTGTTAGTCCAAATTCACAGCACGCATCAGCAAAGGCAGAAAGTAAACATTGCAGCTTCTCCTCTGAGTGGGTGGTTATTGCGGCATCATCTGCAAACAGCAGCTCTCTGATAAGTACCTTTCTTATCCTGGTTTTGGCCTTCAGCCTGCGAGCATTGTAAAGGCTGCCGTCAGATCGAGAATGAATGAATATACCACCCTCCTGATCTCGAAAGGCATGTTTCAAAAGAAGTGAAAAGTTTATTCCAAAGAGGGTAGGAGCAAGTACACACCCCTGCTTCACTCCATTTTTTATTATAAACTCCTCCGATGTTACACCATCAAAGTTGATTGTACCTTTCATACCTGTGTGAAACGACTCAATAATGCTCAGCAGAGTAGGTGGACACCCTATCTTCTTCAGTGCGTTGAACAGGCCTTTTCGACTAACCAAATCAAATGCTTTGGTAAGATCAATAAAAGCAACATACAGTGGTTAATTTTGTTAGAAGCATTTTTCCTGCAGCTGTCGTAATGAAAATATCATATTAGTGGTAGATCGGTTCCCACGAAAGCCACACTGGGACTCTGGGTAAACGCGATCCCCCAGGATCTGGAGTCTTTGCAGAACAATTCTCGCAAGCACTTTTCCAACATTACACAGCAGTGATATTCCCCTGTAGTTTTTGCAGTCACTCCGATCATCCTTGTTCTTGTACATAGTTATAATGATTGTGTTTTTGAAGTCTTGCGGAACCTGTCCCTCTTGCCAGCAGAGTGTTATTAGCTGATAAATGTGTGGGGTTGGAATGTCTTTCCCATTCCTGATGATTTAAATAGAAATTCCATCTCTGCCTGGGGCTTTCCCTCAAGCCAATTCATCAATAGCATTCCCAACTTCTACAACTGTTGGAAATGTGTCCAGATAGTCAAGAGTTGGTAGCGTCTTCACGGCATTAGGAGCACTATCTGTTTGTTTAGTATCAACTAAGTAAAACTCCAGATAATGTTCCACCCATCTATCTAGATGCTTCTTCTTGTCATTAATAATCTCCCCTATTCAAATTCTTTTGATCTTCGATCAAACCTATTTTTCCCATTTAAGAGGAACAGAAGATAAAATAAAAAAAAAATAAAGATTTTATGATTTAATGTTATGAACCAATCAACTATGAGAATAAAATCCCTGGTGGGCTCTTGGGTTTCTCTCTCTCTCTCCATGTCTGTGTGTGTGCGTGTCTGTGTGTGTGCGTGTCTGTGTGTGTGCGTGTCTGTGTGTGTGCGTGTAGTGACCATTTTCTCCTTGATAAGTTATGCTACAGAAAGAATGATGTCAGGTAATAAATGTGAATGAGAAATGTAAATGTAACGAGTGCAAAGCCCAGATACACAGGGAAAATGCTGGCCAAATGAAACCTGTGTGAATCGGAGAACATGAGAAAGTTGTATGGGGCATAATTATAATGTGGGCGTTAGAAGGTTATATAATGCCTTAGAAAGAGCATGTGGACAGTCTCGTTTGGGCCAAGAAACTGAATGCATGGAGAGCGGAGAAGTGTTTGTTGTATCCAGTGTGCGTCTGCTATGTCTGCAGAGTTTCAACGCCTACTTGGCCAGACAGCAAAGGACTGGCGGAAAAACCGGCAGCCACCTGATGTTTTGTGTTAGCTCGTAAGGAGAAAGTTGTGTTTGTTTTTTCCTGTGGTAATGGAGGTTGTTTTTTGGCCAAAAGGTAATGTAGTTCCATAGAAATACATCTTTGGATATATACTGAGTACCTAGACTTCTTCTCTCATAACGTACTTGCTGAAGAAACAGCAAGTGGAGAATAAAGTGTGAAACCGCACTGGTCGTTCACTGTCATCTATTTTTTACTCGTGGTGATGATGTCGGTGCGTAAAAGAGGAGTCTGCAAGTGACTGGAGCCTGAGTAATAAGAAGAGAGTCATTGCAGTAGCACACGCATGTGTTTGTGTGTGGGGGTAGGGTTGTAGGGGGTAAGAATAGAGACACGGCTCCTTAACAAGCATATCATAAGACATGTCATAATAACTAACAGACATGTCATAATAACTAACTGACATGTCATAATTAAACTGAAATTTGACTAAACCTTTTACTTGCGAATCCCGTAACGTAATTTATGCAATTATCTGCAAACGATGCAGCAAAGCATACACTGGGGGACTGAACTGGCAGAAAGCTAGCATCGTTTCCGGGAACACCTCTCGTATTGGCCAAGAACACTTGAACCATCCCTCTCCATTTTAACAGTTGGATCACAGTGTAAAGATCATATATCTGTCAGAGTTTCAAATCTTGCTCTGGCGATCAGACTACCCGCCTCCCTTTGGAAAATCACCTCATCCACAGATGTTTTTAGTCCAGTGTATCAATATCCAACATACCTTCACCTAAATAGTTCTACTCTTATTTTTTAAATGTTGGTTATTTATTTTATTTTATTTCACATTATTACTTGATTCTATTTCTTATCAGTACATCTTTGTATCATTAACTTTGTACCTTTTCTTTCTCCCAGTAACGTATTATATATATTAAAAATACAGTTTTTTTGGTGTGACATTTTAAAGTCATCGAAATTTTACTTTCATTCATTCAACATCACATTTTTTTAAACGTCGCTGATGTCACCCCTCAGAGATCTACACTCTCCACTCTCGTTTGTGACTGTTCAGTTTGAAAAAGGCTGCCCAAGAACGTTACGAGTGTGTTGTTTTGTGCACGTTTTTCTTGTGTTTTTGTTGAGTTTTTTAGTGAAATTATATCTGGAATTCCTTGTATTAGCTCGACTGCAGTCACCCCCATATTTTCACCATAATTAAACTGACATGTCACAATAACTAACTGACATGTCATAATAACTAACTGACATGTCATAATAACTAACTGAAATGTCATAATAACTAATTGACATGTCATAATAACTAACAGACATGTCAAAATAACTAACTGACATGTCATAATAACTGACATGTCATAATAACTAATTAAGGATTTGGTCAGATCAGATGTGCTGGTCAAAAAGGTGAGGATATCACAGCCTAGCAGTAAACAACAACCCAAGATGCCAATCATATGCCTTCAGGCAGATGATGATAAAGAAGATGAAGAAAAAGAAAAAGGAAGGAAGGAAGGAAGGAAGGAAGGAAGGGAGGGAGGGAGGGAGGGAGGAAGGGAGGAAGGAAGGAAGGAAGGAAGGAAGGAAGGAAGGAAGGAAGGAAGGAAGGAAGGAAGGAAGGAAGGAAGGAAGGAAGGAAGGAAGGAAGGAAGGAATAGAAAAACCATGAATACAAACAAAAAGATGGTTTCTAGGACAAGGATATATATTTTAATCTAAAGGACACTTTCCATTATCTAAATGCCTTCTTCTTCTTCTGCATTCACTTAGAAAAGTGTAGTTGGCTTACTGTGTTGTGGTTTACAGCTAAGCTGCGGTATCAGCATTTTTCAGTCCAATACATCTGATTTCAGCACACTTCTAATTACTCGCCTTTTAGGACATGCTTGTTAAAGTGCAGTAGGTCTATTCATTTTCCCTCAAAATGGAGCCAGAAGACCTACATAGGGAGAACAAGTAATGAGACAGTGAAGGCAGGACAAGCAGTAACACAGTGCCAGCCACTTACCCAAAGTGAAGACAATGCAGGCAGGACAAGCAGTAACACAGTGCAAGCCACTTACCCACAGTGAAGACAATGCAGGCAGGACAAGCAATAACACTGTGCCAGCCACTTACCCACAGTGAAGACAATGCAGGCAGGACAAGCAATAACACAGTGCAAGCCGCTTACCCAAAGTGAAGACAATGCAGGCAGGACAAGCAGTAACACAGTGCCAGCCACTTACCCACAGTGAAGACAATGCAGGCAGGACAAGGAGTAACACAGTGCCAGCCACTTACCCAATGTGAAGACAATGCAGGCAGGACAAGCAATAACACAGTGCCAGCCACTTACCCACAGTGAACTATGATTGGCTTGGTCAGGCTTCTCTGCTGCATGTAGAATGTGTGAACCTCAGAGATGAAGTGAACAATGCTACTGATCTCATCCGGGAAGCCGCTGAAACAGATTACACAGGAACCGTCACACAGCTGTGTTGTTTTTACATCAGACACTCAACATAACTAACCCTCTCTTATCAGAATCTAAGATACTTTTATCAGAAACTCAACATAACTAGCACTCTCTTATCAGAATCTAAGATAATTTTATCAGAAACTCAACATAACTAACATTCTTACAACAGAATTAAAGAAACTGTTTATTAAAAACCTAGCATAACCAACCTTCTTACATCAGAATTTAAGAAACTGTTTTCAAAAACTCAACATAACTAACTTTCTTAAATCTTAAAGAAACTTTTATCAAAAACTCAACATAACTAACCTTCTTAAA